AAATTGTAGTCACAAATTAATTGTACATTTATTAAATAATAGTTTTTTTTATTTACATAGATATTTTCAGGATGCTCATAACCATGTACAAACAGCTTATTACCCCTTCTGTTGAATCTGTAAAACATCGATTCTGAAAAATCACTTGAATAAAAGCCAATTACTTTGAATCTACTCTGTTCTTAGCCGATTCAACTGGTAAATATTGGCAGGAAATTTGACGAATCTTTGGAAAATTTCAACTTGGTTCCAGTACCTCAACGATTTTGTTCACACGTCTTGAAACATGAAGTCTAGGACACAGAAAAATTGAAATTGCAGCTCATATCCATTTGGTAACTTTCTCATGCAAAAAACCGTAAGGAAACTAACACAGTAAACAGCATAATATGTATTACCTCTGTGATAGTTGGGTACCAACTTTTGTGGAGATATCCAAATCTTGAGCACAATGTGCAGGTCATGTAATAAAATCAGAGAGTGATTTTCACGCTACTGTATCTTCGCCTATCTATTTGCATCTTCCATTACATCAATCAACATCAACTGTACAAATTTCTCTCCCATTATGTTTTGATGTAATTCACTATTTATTCAGATGATATGAAACTCAAAAAAGATTCATTAGAGTCCAAAATGGTTGTCCAATATAAATAAACATTAAAAATATTCAATGACACGTCACAAGTCAACAAAACGACGAAAGTCAATACCAACTAAATTCTAAATTTATCAGTGACAAGTGAATGCAGGAAAAGATGGAAAATCAAGACCCTACACTATTATAGATGTACGAGCTCCACTTGGCAATTCTGACCACACACTCATCTCCACATCCTGCCCATTTTTCATTCCGTCAACTGCTCCGGCACCCCCACGTCTTATATGGCATTACAATTCAGAAGATTGGGACGGTCTCCGCATGTTTTTCTCCGAGTATCTTTGGCATAGAATATGCTTTGACTCTGAGGACCCTTCACAGTGTGCTGCGGAAATATCCGAGATCATCATGCTCGGAATGGACACATACATACCTCATTCTTTGAAAAGATCATCACCATCGAAACCCTGGTTCAACAGAAACTGTTCTAGATCTGTTGCCTTGAAACAAACAGTCTACCATCGCTGGCGCAAAAACCCTAACCTCGGAACTAGAGCAGAATACGTTGATGCCAGGAATAACTGCAGCCAAACAATAGATGCTTCGAAAGAAACATACAATGCCAAGATAAGATCGAAACTCATAGATTGTCCCAATGGCTCCCGTTCGTTTTGGTTCCTTGCTAAAGTGGTCGGAAGAAATTTCACTAACAGTTCATTTCCACCACTGTCCAAATCCGACGGCACATTAGCAACAACATCGCAGGAGAAAGCAAATATTTTTGCAGAGATGTTCGCAGCAAACTCTACTTCAGATTCCCAAGGACAAGTGCCACCAGACATTCCACCCGTTGAGAGTCGAATGCCCGAAATCGTCTTCCGTCAACGCAATATCAGACGAATTTTGCTTGGTCTCAAAACGAATAAGGCTAACGGTCCTGATGGAATTCCACCCATTATCCTCAAAAAATGTGCACCAGAATTAACACCGATTCTCTGCAAGTTGTTTACCGTCTCGTACAGGTCGGGTATTTTTCCATCTAGAGTCCAACCAATCCCCAAAAAAGGGAACAAGAACCTGCCCAACAACTACAGACCTATTGCCCTGTTATCAGTAATCTCCAAAGTGATGGAGAAAGCCACCGAAGATCTACTGGAGATCTACTTGCCTACTTCACCCATTTATGGCAAGCTTCATTAGAAAAACACGGGGAATCTCTAGCTGTCGCGTTGGACATATCGAAAGCATTCGACCGTGTTTGGCACGAAGGACTCCTCCACAAACTACCATCATATGGCTTACCACCTCAGGCACCAACATTATTCCTTCTTCATATCAATATCTGTTGGGAGTAACAACTTGCCCCATCCACAGCTTTGCAGATGATAGCATCCTCCATACTGCGTTCTCTCCAAGAATTCCCATTTCTTCCCAAGAAACTAAGAACTCACGGCGCAGGCAGGTCAATGCTGTCAATGAAAACCTTGCTGAAATCACGGCCTGGGGGACCAACAACCTAGTTGAATTCAACGCCACCTAAACTCAAGCCTGTATTTTCTCTAGAAAGGCGGAACTCAGTATGCCCGATATTGTAATGTCTGGCACCACCATACCCACCAAGCCCACCATATCTATGCTCGGTATTTCCATCAGCAACACTCTTTCATGGTATAATTGTTTGGTTTAATATTATACTCTCTTTATTTCCTATAAGTGACATTGATATTCATAACATTGACATCCCCCTCATACTCAAACTTCCATGTATAGGGTGATCCATACATCTCCCCTTTTCACTCTTCCATCTGCCTATCCCCTCTTAGAATATTCTTTCCTGGAATGAACCGGAGGAATCTTCTATTCCTTGAATAGCAACGGCCACTTGAAGTTTTAATCAAATAATTCCTGTGACTTCCTACTTCAACTATTACACCGACATTATCCCACAACTTAGTTTTCGGGTCCTGAATTCTAACTCTAGATCCAATCGGGATTGCTATTAAATCTTTGGCATTCCGATTATAATGTCCAATAACTTTGACATGTTCCTCTGCAGATTTCTTTTCACATGCATCTACAGCAATTTGCCATTCTTTGGAAAATGCCTTATGATGTGCTGGGACCAAAGAGCGAATAGGGTGGTCAAATAAAACCTGGGCTGGAGAACGATTATTCGATTTTGGAGTATTTCTATATTCCAGTAGACCTGCATAAAATTTTTCTTCGTCCAAACTGCTACCATTCATGCATTTCATGATGAGTGTCTTCATTGCTTTAACTCCAGCCTCTGCATGCCCATTACTTTGTGGGTAATATGGTGTGGATGTACAACGGGCCACATTCCATTTCAATAAAAATGCAAGAAATTCTTGCGAAGTGAACTGTGGACCATTATCAGATCGGAATCTCAGAGGAACACTAGTATCAGAAAATATTTTTCTTAGATCTTTTATCAGTTTCAAACTAGTTGGATCTTGATTTCCGTACGGGCAAACTATTGGCCATCCCGATAATCTGTCAATGTACACCATATATTTCTTTCCTGCACAAGAGAATAAATCCGCGGATACATCTTGAAATGGAAGGGTAGGTGGTGGATCACACATATATAGTTCTTTTGGCAGAGAAGGACGGATTAATTGGCAATGTTCGCAATTTTCTACGATATTCTGAATATCGCTTGTCATAGCAGGCCAATACACTACTTGACGAGCTCGTCTCTTCGTTCTTTCAATGCAATAGGGATGACAATCTGACATCCTTTGAGTACTAATTCATTTTCACAGCTCAATTCATCTCGCACATTCCAATATGGCTTCAAAGCAACATCAAGATCCTGTTTTGAATTAGGAAACCCCTTCTCTATCATTTTAACGAACTTTTGATACGTTTCATCATTTTTTGATTTCTCTTTGAGAATTTCAAATAACGGATCTTGAAGGTGAGAAGTTCTCAACATTTCTTCTGTATTGTCCACTAGAGAAATTTGATGTACGATGAATGAATTCAAATGAACTGTAGCATCTTCTGCTAATAAATCGTTGTCTTGACCATTTGCAACCGGCGAACGTGAGAGTGCATCAGGAATCATATGTTAACATTGACATCCCCCTCATACTCAAACTTCCATGTATAGGGTGATCCATACAATAATCATGTCAGATCCATGGCAAAAGCTGCTTCACAAAAACTCGGATTCTTGTTCCGTGCGAAAAGCTACTTTACACCTCAACAGCTTCTTATGATCCACAAAGCGCAGATACGACCTGTTCTAGAATACTGTTCCCACATATGGGGTTGAGCATCAAAACATACGCTGATGCTCTTAGATGACGCGTGACGCCACACTCACTCACTCTTTGACATCATTGGAACACCGAAGAAAGGTCGACAACCTTTCAGTTTTCTTTCGATACTTCCACGGGAAATGTTCTTCGGAAATCTCTGCTATCATCCCTTCACTAGCAATGCCAGTCAGACGAACTAGACAGGCCCAGTCAGCACATCCTTTCGTTGTCAACCTCGAAAGATGTCGATCGGCACAGTATTCCCAACCACATATATAATCTCCAGAATTTAAAAAAAATCCATTACCTACCTCCTATCCCTATCCTCCCTAGGAACGCACGATGTTCTTTGAACATTATAGGGATTTCCTTTCGTGCGCTCCAAGCGATAAAAAAAAAGTTTCATATACAATAAGGAACTAGCCATAAGTATATTTCCATATGTGTCTAGTATGCCATATTAAAATGTTGATACATGTATTCTTTCCATTTTCATAACTGTTGTTCTTTGAAAAGTGTATTGCTAAAATTGAAGGGGGCGTTCACCCTATTTCTATTTTTCATCTACGGCTATGATTGATCCGACAGTAAATATAACCTCTAAAATCGTATCTGACAATCAAGCGCTACTAGGGAAATTGAAAAGACAAAGAGGAGAATATATCGCTACCTCAATGCAACAAATAGACATCTACGATTTGATAGTTCTGAGATAAATCGAATTGAATGTTTACAGTCTACAATAACGGTTGTGGCATGAGGTGTAAATTCAGTATTTTTTTCTCTGATTCAATGATTCTTTTAGACGTTTTATGTAGATGTAGGAATTTTTTTCGAGTTATGTAATACATGTTAAAAAAATATTTTTCATGTTATCTACTTGTTGCATTGAATAAGTTTGATGACTTATAGTTACCCATATTCAAGCATGGTCTTTGGACCCATAAAAATGTATGATATTGATACTAGACAGCTTCAGGAATGGATTTATTCGAGTAAATATATAAATTCTTTCATAATGAAGCTTGGACACATTTTCAGGCATGAAACGGTGAATAATAAATCATGGAAACTTATCTAAGGCAACACATAGTAAAATCACATTCAGAATTTTAGTCTTCAGTTGTTTCTTCTTCAATATCGGATAAAACATCTGGAACTTTATTATTGTGAGGTAAACTGTAATAAAATGGTTTACAAGCATCTCCTAGTGCTGGAGGTTTAATTCCGAATAGAGATGTCAAGTTTGAATATTTTTGCTCTGTGATAGGAATCGAGTCCTTGTACAAAGGTTGCAGTGAAGTTGTGGGGTGAGAACTACGACGTGTCTTCTTGTTGAAGTTGAGGAGTTTGAATTCACCATCGAAAGCTTCTTTGAACTCCATAATGAACGGCAGAGCTTTGTTGAAACGCATCCAACACATTTTCTGCCAGTTCACTGGTCCGCCACTCTCGTCTGTTTTTCTGATGGACATGTTCTGCTCGACGAATTTTTTGTAGTCAAAAATATCGTCTTGTTTGAGATTGTGGACAATATAAGGCCTATATCTTTTACACCTCGCACTACGAGCTATATTTGTCCATTCTTCTGGCCATAACGCCTTACCAATTCTTTTGAATTCTCTACTGATTGCAGCATGCATAGTCACACTTCATCTCGCTTTGACCACTCACCAGAAATGTTAAACCAACTATTGTAATATTGTGAATCTCTTGGACGGCTAGCAAACACATTGTTGCCATGAATTTATTCGAATTTTAGCCACAGCATCTATCACTATAGAAGAATACTTGTTTCGTGGAAATCGGTAATGATTTGAGGTATTCGTATACGCAGCTTCCAATCTCACAGCTGCCCCTCTCAAATTTTGTTTCAGTCCACAAGAAACTATCTCCTTGTTTATTCACAACATTGTAGACTGTGAAATTATAGGAAGCAAGCCTGCGTTTGTAAAAGAGCGCATTGTTCGTTGGATCTGTTGGAACAAGTAATACTTGCTGCAGGTCAAAATTCGCGCAAATGAGCTCTCCATTAGATTGTCCGGCAATAGCTTTATCGCTCCTTTTATCTGCTCTTGCCAGTAATAATTACACAATTTATTGATACTCACCGTCGTTCCTACAACGATCGACCATATATCGTGCTCTACTACTCATAATGGTTATAAGTCAACTTCTTATTACCAAAAATTCACAAAAGAATGATGAACAATACAATCGATTTGAATATAAACGAACAACTGGGAGGGCCATAGCCAGTTCAAATCAGGTTGTACAACTAGATATCTCAACTTATCCACTACTTGAATAAAATATTAGAATGCAACAATTAGACAACTTGAGATACCTAGTTGTTGGGATAATTTGATGTATGATTTTGAAGATGTCCATATTTGATACTTTCCATATCAGGAAGATAATATCAGAATTGAGTTATCTAGTTATTGCAATAGAAGTATCATTCGAAACAATAATGGCTGGTGGAGTTATCTGAAATCGGCCCATTTTCGAGTTATCTAGTTGTAGTTTTGAGGTAGCGATATGTTTTATTCTTTTATTCACTCAAACCATTGTAATATAGAAAATAGAAGAGAGCAGAAGTTCAACTGTGTCCGAACTCTATATAACTAATACCATCCAGTGACGCTAGTCAGGATTTGGTCATTTGGCTACAGAGTGATAACCAATAAAATCAATAGAAATTTAGATTTTTATCAGGAAATAGAAAGGAAAAAAAACATCAAAAAATAACAGTTCAGATCAAGTCTCCTTCATTGTCTCTGCATTTTTCATACCTCTGCACGTTATTTTCAACTCTCCTCTGTTCTTCTGGTGGTATCTCTGCAAACTGTTATTATTCTTCGTCACAACTACACTCTATTTCTTGGCCTGAATTTGTAATCCTTGTAGGAGAGTTGAACATATCGTGTAAAAAGAGATATAAAACGTGTATAAAGAATGAAGGAGATTTGATCGAGAATACAAAAATCTGAACTTGTTAGGAATAATTGCTGTTTTGTTCTTTGTCTGATCTTTTGATGCCATTTTTCGATAGGTATTATTAAGTTTCTTTTTATCTAATGATGAAAAAAATCTAAATACCTAGTGATTTTATTCGTTATTTATCTCACTCTGTATCCAGATGATCTAATTCTCACTACCATCATGCCTGGTATCATTCAAATTCTGATATTTATTTCAGATGGTGACTTGAAAAATCCAATTATTTAAAATTTGCGACGTTGATAAGAAACACCCTTTATGATATATTATTTTGGAGATTGATATAGGAGTATTCGTAACTTGTCTGAATCGCTTACCATTATCATCAAGGAAGATGTTTCTATTGATGTCGGTTTGCCAATTTCTTGCCAAAACTGTTCAGATATAACTGACTTGACTGCTCCAGGGTCGTAGATCATTTCTATGTCCATATTATTAATGTTCCCGTTCAAAGTAGCTTAGCAAATGAATTTCTTGAACGATGTGATTACAATATGACCGTGCGAAATCACGGAAACGTTCATGGGTATTTTTTTTTTTTTTTTTTTATTTATTTATTTCAAAAAATTGAGACTTGTGAATAAAATACATACTGAACAATAATAATACATAATTACATATATTCATTGGTTGGATGCACAATGGATTTAAAAAAAATCTGTGTGTGCAGCCATGTAGCTTAAACTTAAGAATCAGTCATATATAGATATACTGAGGTCCCTGCAATTTGGAACTAATAAGTGATAAGAAGACAATAATGAATAATAACCTAATAACTGTGATGCATGTGACATATGTGATGTTCAAGATTAGATGATTTATAAATCATTTACAGTCACCTCACTTTCTACTATCCATCTATTGACATGGTGTTTAACTTGTTTGTAGGGCTTATTTCTAAGGTGCAGTGGTAAAATGTTATAAACTTTTGGCCCTATATAAGCAATGTGCGCTTGTGTCGCTGAACGCGCCACATGCGGAACGAAGATATTCTGTCTAACTGCTGCTCTTGTGTTCAGTTTGTGTTGTAGTACACTTCTGTAATATTTTTTCATGATCATGAATCTAATAGTAGATTTAATATATAGCTGATCAATGTTTAGCAATTTGCTTTCTTTAAATAACAGCCGGATGGGAACAGCCTAGACTTGTGTAACATAATTTTCAGAACATATTTTTGTGCTACATGAAGAGATGACATGGTACTCTTACAAGCATTACCCCAAACTAACAACCCATAGTTGATAATTGACTCGACTAGTGCAGAATAGACCATCTTCAGAGTATTTACATTCAAAATATGACTCAGCTCATAAAATTTGTAGATCAGTTTTCTGACTTTGCTGGTAACCATGTTAATATGAAATTTCCAGTTTAAGTTTTCATCAAGTAAAATTCCTAAATATTTCACACTGTCCTTTCTCTCTATCTTAGAATTACATTTACAAGAATTAGTCTCAAAGTTACAGTCATAATCATGAATTTTTAGAAATTCCACATTTGGCAAGGTTCTTCGGGTCAAACCAAACGCTAAAAACTTGGTTTTTGCCACATCCAATGTTAGTAAACTGCAGTCTAGCCAGTTTTTTATTTTAGAGATGGCCTCTTCCGCCTTTTGAACCGCTGATTCCCAGGTGTGGTCGGTTACTATAATTACAGTATGTAATTCGGTACTTTTTTTTAACTATTTGGCTACTAGGGTGGATTTGGTAAGATTGATGCTGAGTTACACCGACTGACACCATTCTTTTGTAATGTTTAGTCCTCTCTGAACTATGTCACAGAGGGTTCCTTCAAATGTACCCTTTGCGAGTATGACAATGTCATCGACATAGCCTTGACAGGATATGCCGAGGTCAGTCAGCCCACAGAGTAGCTCGTCTACTGTGAGACTTCACATTGATGGATGGAGACGATCGCTTGCCCAACCTTCTTTTCTGCAAATCTTGTAGACCAGTTATGACTCCATCGGGGTTGTTCCATCTACTTCTCTGCCTTCTAGTGCTCTTTCGACTAGATCGTATTTTTCAAAAACTCATCAGAATAAGAAAGATCAGGAAACACACTACAAGTGTAGCTTCTTATTTTGTACGGCAAACTTCGACCAAATTCTTGAAAGAATATCGAACAAAATACCGATGAACGTTTCCACGATTTCTTACGGTCATATTGTAGTCCCATCGTTCAAGAAATATACAAGTGAAAATGTGGAAAACTGTACTCAATATGAAGAATTATGGCTTAGGTGAAAGATTTTCATCCGAATCAGATATACATGCCAACTCATACTACATAGAGAAAATAAATTGTGAGTTTGGTGTTTTTACGATTCAGAAAGCCCGTGAAAAGAAGGCTGTGATGGATGTAAGGAAATTGATTGAAAGAGGTATTTTCTTTCAACAGGATGGGGAATCTTCTCATTACTCAATACAAGTGAGAGAATACCTAGAGCACCCAATTCTCTAATTGCTGGATAAGTCGTGGCGGCCCTCATTCTGGCCTCCTAGGTCCTCTAATCTCACAGTATTAGACTATTATCTATGGAGACTTATAAAACGATTAGTATATCAGCCTGAAGTCAACACCAGGGAGGAACTGAGGGAAAGGAAAGTTACAGATTCAGATATGATCAGAAATAACAGGCAAAGTATTCGAAAAACCATGAGAGATCTCCCAAAGAGATGCAGAAAATTGAAGAAACTGCTAGAGCACCCAATTCTCTAATCGCTTGATAAGTCGTGGCGGCCCTCATTCTGGCCTCCTAGGTCCTCTAATCTCACAGTATTAGACTATTATCTATGGAGACTTATAAAACGATTGGTATATCAGCCTGAAGTCAACACCAGGGAGGAACTGAGGGAAAGGAAAGTTACAGATTCAGATATGATCAGAAATAACAGGCAATGTATTCGAAAAACCATGAGAGATCTCCCAAAGAGATGCAGAAAATTAAAGAAACTGCTAGAGCACCCAATTCTCTAATCGCTTGATAAGTCGTGGCGGCCCTCATTCTGGCCTCCTAAGTCCTCTAATCTCATAGTATTAGACTATTATCTATGGAGACTTATAAAACGATTGGTATATCAGCCTGAAGTCAACACCAGGGAGGAACTGAGGGAAAGGAAAGTTACAGATTCAGATATGATCAGAAATAATAGGCAAAGTATTCGAAAAACCATGAGAGATCTCCCAAAGAGATGCAGAAAATTGAAGAAACTGGAGGCAGACGTTTTGAGAATCTTCGTTAAAGAATATTAAGATACAGAGATATCTTTTTCTAAAATTATAATTGCTCTGTTGCTTTTTTCCAAAAATCAAGTATGGTCCTGAATTTTTTTTATTGAAAAACAACTATTCTTTGCTACTATATCAATGTGCAAAAATATTGATTTCAATACTTTGAGTCGAATGTAGAGAGTAATGTGGCCGGACGAAATCAAAGAAACATTCATCTGTATTTTGTTTGAAATTTTTTACCAAATCGGTCGAAGTGTGCCGTACAAATTGAAAAGCTGCACTTGTAGCGTTTTTCCTAATCTTTCCGATTCTGATGAGAGTATTTGAAAAATACGATCCAGAAAGTTAAATTTATGAGAAAATGAATTTCCCAAGTCCAGCTCTGGATTTTTTTTCTATAGTA